TTGTGTCTTATAAAATACACGATATTGACTTCAACATCCTAGTGAGACACTACCATCAGTTTAGAGGCTTATTGAACATCCAATTCGAATTGGTTTCCTGGGATTTGAGCCTTGTTTCATGTATCATTAAGGAAAAAATAAAATCAGTTTAATAATGTATTAGTGCGTTTCAAGGATGAAATACTTATTTCATGAGGTTTTTTAAAAATAGAAAAGAAATCAATGGAATAATAGCAAATTGTTCTAGTGGACTAAAAGTCATTATTATTATTTTTTTTTTATACGGATCTTTTGATGATTGGTCTCTCAAAGTCGAAGCAATCTTATATACTTGGAAAAAGCAAAGGTTGTAGGCTCACTAGCTAGAGAAAGATTAATCATGACAATGATATTTATTTCTATTTTTTTCTACGTTACCCGATCGGACGTCCTGAGCCCCCCTGACCGTCCGCGGTTGTCCGATCGGACAACCGGTCGATCGTTAGGCCGAGGCCCTGTATCCGATCGGTGGGGAAATTGGGGGCGAGTGCTTCCATGGGGAATTGGGGGTTGTGAGGTTGAGAAGCGGGTATGGGCGAAGCGGGGGGGGCGAAGGGAAAAATGTTTCGAGGCCGGTAGGGCCTCCAAAATCGAAAACGAAACTGGTCCGATCTGGGTCGTCAGATCTTAAACATCGACGGCCCAAATTGGGCCGATTTCAAATTCGAATTCCTAGGTGTTGCGGCTCTCTCTGTCGCGCGACTTCGCTCAGCCCTGTCGCTGGAGTTCGGCGTTGCAGGTGCCGAACTCCGACGCCCAACAACTGCTACCCATGCGCCATCGCCCGCCCACGCAAGGTGAGTTTGATTCCCTGCATGCATGCCATCTCCTCCTCCTCCACCTCCTCTTCCTCCTCTGCCTTATGCTTCTCCTCTTGTCCTTCTCGTCCTGCATCTCCTTTACTTCTTCTCCTCCTCCTCTTCCTCCTCCTCTTCCTCCTCCTCTTCCTCCTCGTCCTCTTCCTCTTCCTCCTTCTCCTCGTGTCTTCCTCGTCCTCCATCTCCTCTACCTCCTCTTCCTCCTCCTCGTCCTCTTCCTCCTCCTCCTCCTCCTTCTCTTCTTCTTCTTCCTCTTCCACATCCTCCTTCTTCTCCTCCTCCTACTCTTCCTCCTCCTCATCCTCGTCATCCTTGGCGTCGTCATCCTTCTCCTCATTGCTCTCCTCCTCCTGCTCATCCTCCTCTTCCTCGTCGTCGTCGTCGTTACCGTCGGATCTTCCGATGCGAGGTAGAGATCACCTTGCGGTGATGTTGGCGGCTCTGCCCGATCCCCATCGTGGTCGTCCTCCTCCTCTTCTTCTTCTACCTCGATGTCCTCCTCCTCATCCCCATCTACCTCCTCCTCCACCTGATCCTCTTCGTCCTCATCCTCCTCCTCGTTATCGTCCTCCTCCCCATCGTCGGTGTCCTCCTCCTCTTCTTCTCCCCAGTGTGCTCCTCACCTCTTTGCCCTCCTCCTCTTGCTCATCCTTGTCGTCGCTATCCCCTGCCTCGCTCTTCTACATAGATAGATACGTACGTAGATAGATAGATAGATAGATAGATAGATAGATACATACATACATACATACATACATACATACATACATACATACATACATATATACATAGAGAGGTATCGAAAGGCAGGTATATAGGTAGATAGATATATAGGTAGGCAGAGCGGTAGGTAGATAGATACATAGGTAGATAGGTAGGTAGATACATAGATAGATAGATCGATAGACAAATCGATACATTAGATAGAGTACATAGATTACATCAGATTGTTGAAGTAGATAGATTGATAGGTTGGATAGATAGATAGATAGATAGATAGATAGATAGATAAATAGATAGATAGATAGATAGATAGATAGATAGATAGATAAATACCTACCTACCTACCTACATACCTACCTACCTACCTATATACCTACCTTCCTACATACCTACCTACCTACCTACCCACCAACCCATCTACAACGTATCATCACACCTCACACACCATATCATTTTTTCTTTTTTTTCGTTTTTGCTCAGAACAGCATGATTTTTTTGGGGGGGTTCCCCTAGTGGTGCGCAGACCCCCCCCCCCCCCCCCCCCCCCGTTTTTTTTTGGCAAAAACGTCGCTGTCAGATTTTCCGGATAACTCCTTTTCCGGATAACTCCCCCCCGACCGTCTCCTTGAGACGTCCGGGAGAGACATCTCCCAATCGGACACCTAGCAGCCTAGATTTTTGAATATCTTGAGATTTTTTTTGTCGTAAAAAAAGGTGTAAACGAATGAAAGCTAATAGAGAACGATTGGCACATTGGTTTCTTTAATAGATTACTTCTGTTTTTTTAATTTCAACTATACTTTTAGCAAAATCTTGTTAAATATCCTTTTTTTTTTTTTTTTCATATGCATGTAGGAATAGAGGAAATTCGAGTAGACTATATTTACCATGAAGTAACACGAAACTAAGAATGAATGTTTTGGAGTGGAGAAAGCATCTTCCAAATTGTTTCGTAGTGGTGCCTTATTGGTTGAAAGTCTGATGCATGAAAAACAAAAAAAAACTTAGTCCTACCCAAACACGTATAGCCACTAGACGTCGGAAGTGCACATGTCGCTACTTCCGGGTTACAACCTGATAGAGCTAAATCGTTGGGGGCACAAAAAAAAAAAAAAACTCACTAATTCATTGTTTTTTTTTTTTTTGCTCAGGAAATAAAATTTCATAAGCACTTGTAGTTTAAATTGCTAATATATTTGCCAACCATTTTTCTTTAACATGGTCGCATGCGCACCAGAAGTTTTGGGGATCGGTCTATTGGAGCAAAGTGGTTGTTGGAGCTAGCCAAAAGGAGGCTCATTTTTCTTTAACTGACTGTCATGTGTCACTTTGCCTATTATCACTCCCTACCTAGGCTATCAACTGGCCCGCCCGGGTTCAGGGTGGCCAGCCCGTGCAAGGACCAAGGACGGTCCCAGCAAAAAAAAAAAAAAAAAAAAAAAATCCAAAAAATCAAAAAAAAAAACTATGTTATGAAGAAAACTAAACTGAATAACTTTTGCCTGAGGGTCGCATCGAAATTCTTTACCAAATTTTAAATAAAAATAAATTAAAAAATATATTTTCATTACTTTTATTTTTTTTATATTTTTTGGTCCGGCCGGGCAAGTGACCCCGGACCATTCTGGTATGTGTAGTAGGGGGTTATGATGTTTTGTGGTATGTGTTCAGTCGAGTTTCGAACTGTGGACGGTTGGGTCAATAAGTGTTGAACCTTGTGCTTGGTATGGCTTAGTTGAGTTTCGAACCATAGTTGGTTGTACTAATATGTGGTGTACCTTGTGATTGATATGGGTCGGTTGAGTTTCGAACCATGGTCGGTTGTGCTAATAAAGGGTGAACTTTGTAGTGGACCTTGAACTAGCCTGTGATAGTCGTGTTTCGAACTGTTGTCGGTCAACTGGTGTGATGTGACTGTGGTTTTGAACTCGGTACGTTAGTTTTATAAGAGACGTAAGGTTTTGTTTCCCACTGAAGTAGTGAATTTTGGATAAGATCTGATTTTTTCGTTGGCGAGACTCCGTTTCGGGTCTATTCTTTAGTGCACGATTCATGACAGTTGAATAACTATTTTTCTTAGTACTGGCTTATAGGGCCTTTTTGTGTTACGAATATAGGGTAGTTACATTTCTTTCTCTGTAGTTTTAGGCTGGTGTCGGGTTTTTCGATGAGCGAGCGCGACGTGATGATGGACGGTGGCTTCTTGGTAGACTTAGCAATTGCGGTGCTTCTGTGGACTTGACTCTCGTTCTTCTTTAGTATATAGTCAACAGTAGAGTGGTCCATGTCACCGATTACGAGGCCCCTGATGATCCTGGTTGGCGGCCAGGTGAAACCGGTAGGGTCATACGCCATGTCGCACTTCAAGTTACATTTTAATTCATAGTCGTGTTCGGGACATGGGTCGTCTCATCTCTCTACTGGTTTTTTACTCTCCTCCTCGATTGGCTTTTGATTTCTTCTTCGTCATTTTTCCTATCTTCCTTCCTCCTCATACCTGGTCTATATTTTGTTTGCTGTGTCGACTTTCTGTCTTGTGTTGATACTGATTGTTGCTGATTTGTCGTAGCTTGTGCTCGACATACTCTTACGCACGAAGGAACCGACGTAGGAGTTGCACTACTGTCGTGTGACTTCGCATCTGATGGCTAGCAATGATCACAATGGTGATGCAATGTCGTGTTACAATTGTGGCCAGCGTGGTCACCTCTCTCGTTTCTGTCCTTATCCAGATCATCGTTTGAACGGTCAGAATTCTAATAGTTCCGCTATTGTCCCCGCCCCTCTTCTTACCTTGCCTGCAAGTGGAGGTTCTACTGTGGGTACTGTCGCTCCTAGTTATGGTGGTCAAACCGGTGGTAGTGGGTGGCTTGGCAAACGCGTTTACTCATTGGAGGAAAAAGTTGCTAAGATCTGTGAGAAGCATGAGGCCGATGAGGCCAGGGAGAAGGCGGCACGAGAAGCTGAAGAACGTGTAAAGAGAGAAAAATACGAGGAAGAAAGAAGGGTGCGTGAGAAAAACGAACGAGAGGATTTTCAGAATTCGATGAAGAAAGAATTGTAAGATAAGGTGTACAAGGCGATCGATGGGAAGAAGAATAGTGAAGGTGACGAGGTGGCGAAATTGAAAGCTACTATTCACGACATGCAGCGGCGACTTCATGTGACGAGTACTTCCTCGGATACAGTGGCTCAGGCTTCGGAAGCTGAAGAGTTGTCTCGGCTGCGACGAGAGCAGGTGGAGATAAAGACTGCAGCTGATAAACGGTTATCTGCACTGGAAGATGTGGTGTTGGCCTTACAAAGACAATGTGAGGATGCGGAGGCTAACGAGGAGAAATGGAAGTCGGAGGCGCTCCGCCCTGGTAATAAACGAGGGTGTATTGCGATTGAACCTACTCCTGCTACGAATGGAAGTGTCGGGCACGAACTACACCCGTGGTTACTCCAAAGAGACACATTGAAGTTGATTTGAAAGGGATTGTGGAACGACATCAGATGGAAGTGGAGGCGTTGCAGGCCTTGCGTATCAGCGAAATGAATGCTCGGAAGGAGTCGGAGGTGGAGATTGATAGACTAAAACAATCGTTGGCTCGATTGGAGATGGTGCAGCGAACGGGGACGCGGGGGACAAATTTGAAGTTGAAGTTAGATGAAGCAGCAGGGAAGAATGATAACGCTGCCAATGAACCAGGACCTTCGGTGCGGAAGAACAAGGAGAAAGCGGCGCCTGGGTCGGTTTCGAAAGCTGTGGATAGAGATGCCTTTGTTATGGCTAATCGATGGGATCTCCGTGGGAAGAACAAGGATGCCGTCATGACGATTTGCAAAAACGAAGGGGTGGTTTACACGACGTTGGAACCCACGAAGGAGGCTATTGTCCAAGCAAGGGTGGAAAAAACATTCAACGGTGATGGAGGGAAGAATGACAAAGGTAAGGCGAGCGTACCTGTTAAGGTGTCGAAGGATGGGGATGAGTCATCTGTCAAGGAGACTCACGATGACCTGATTGTCTCTTAGTATCCCACTCGAGCATGGCTTATCTTTGGGATTTGGCTCGATTATGTTGTAGATCTCGTTCCTTGTCTATTGACCATCTTAAGAGTAGTGAGTGGACCAAGCTTCTATGCTTTGCTGTCTGTGGCTTAATTCTGGCTGAAGAAGTGGTGTGGGGGCGTAAGTTTAGTGAATTTTTTCTTTCGTCTACTCTGGGTTGTGATCGTAGATCTGAGTTATGGGATGGTCCAGTTGTGTATGGATTGATTTCACCGTGGTCTCGTCATATTTACATTGGAAATACCGGTAGAGATGTCCACACAAGGTGGAAAGAACATGTGTATCGTACATGTCAGTCTACGACGGTTGAAGGGTGTCGACGTAATGAGAAGCTGTATAGGTGGTTGCGGAGGTGTGGAGCTCATACTTACGTGATTGTCCCGTTGTGTAGATGTGATTATGATGATTTGCATGAAACGGAGAAGTATTTTATTAGGCTTTTTTCGCCGTCTTTGAATTCTCGTGATAAACCTAAAAGGTCGAAGAGGAAGAGGCTTGGGCTCAGGGAGAGATTAAGAAGGAAGGCAATGAATGGGATGGTTGTCACTTCTGGGGTTTCGGAGAAGAAGGTGACCGGATCTTTGGTTACTTTTCATTCCAACGTGGGTGTTGTGTCATTAAGTTTATTAAAGGTGTTGAAATTTTTTCGTGTTAACCTTATTCATAAAGTTGTGATCGTTTGTGTTGGTGGAACAAGAGTGATTGACCGATGGAAGATTGTAAAAAGGTTGTACGGAGGTAGTATTGTGTCACGTACGTTTGGACGAGGAGAACAAAGGCAATTGAAGGTTGGTTGAAAGGAGGGAATACGCTGACCTTTAAGCAAGTAATTCTTTTTTTTAGTAGGTCATTAGCTTTTAAGGCTCCGTTGGTTGAGTTCTTGAGCAATCCTGAAAGTCGACGGTTGATGAAGTTGTGGGATTTGGATCAGTCGATTGCTGCGTATACTGCTGTGAGAACTTTTCGGGAAAAGCGAACCCGATTCCGGTTGAGATGTTTACTATCCCATGCTATACTCTCAAGATTTGGTATGCATGTGAGGAAGAGACTAGTCTGTCGGGTGGTTTTCTCTGAGTCTGTGTCTAAGGCCAAGGTTAGGCAAGCGTGTTCTACTGTTATCTCTTCTCTGACTATTTCGAAAGGATGAAAGGAGATGTTCGTGAGACGTATGCGCATCGTTTGGTGTCGGAATCGCAGTGTTGGTGATTTCATCAACAACTTTCGTAAGCATTCTAAGAATAGTGATGCTGTGTGCACTTGTGTTAGTTGTGATTCGTCCTTTCCGAGAATTAATGGACTTGTGAGTTTTTCCTCAATGGATCAAGAATTCGAAGAATGTGCTTCGATCCTTTAATCGTCGTATGTTTACTACTCTGCGAACTCAAATTCTTTTTACTTTATCTTCTCATCCTTTTATTCCGGTGTTTGACCATGGTGTGTTGACCAATGAGTTGGTAAGAGATTATTTCTCTGCTGCGGATTCTACTGTGAAGGCGATCAATGAGGATGACCTGGCTGACTTTCTCCCCTTGCTGCGAGATCTCGTGTGTGTTCCCATTGATCATAATATGGGGGATACTATGGTGTGCTGCCCTTTGACGTATCAGGAGGGGATGTGCAAACTTTTTACTAATAACCCCTCTTTCTCTTTGGTTACTGTGGATGAGAAGACTCTGTTGGAAGACTGTTCGGTTCAGTACGAGTTGTAAGGACTAGATAAAGTGAGCAAACGGAAGAAAGCTGGGAGTCTCGGGAAGTTGTACTGTATTCCCAAACATAAGGATACATCACGTTGGCGGCCTATATGTCCATCTTACCCGGAGTGTTCGGATAGAGGAGGAAAAATCGTTTCGAAAGCTGTGAACTATTTATTGTGAAATCTCCCTTCTGAATCTAACTTTAATCTACGAAGTGCGGATGGGCTTCTGAAGTGTGTTAGGTCTATTAACAATGGGTTCGGGAAAGGGGATTGTCTGATCGGGGCTTCATTCGATGTTAAAGAGATGTTTTCGAACTTGCCTCATCAATCGATTATTGAGGCTCTGTGTTGGGCAATTGACTATTGGGCTGATAAAGGTGTTCGAGGTGTTGCGGTTAGGAAACAGGGGAAAGGAGCAACATTGTTGAGGGGCAAATTGGAGCTTGGATGAAAGTCTATTCCACTGGATGCAATTCTGATGTTCGTGAGGTTTGAGTTGGATCACACGTTTATTTCGGCGTCTGGAAGAATACTTCGACAAACGGTGGGGATCCCGATGGGGAAATCTTCGAGTCCTGCACTTGCGTGTCTCCTTTGTGCATACAACGAATTTGTTTTCTTGGACAGTCTCGGTGTTGACATGAATTCTTTCCGGGGTTTTCGTCTTGTGGACGATGTTTCTGTATTTGTGGTTATTAAGGGAGTGCATGGCGTGACGCAGGCTAAAGCTGAAATGATGATTGAGTCATTCAAGGGTTGTTATGATGATAACCTTGTCTTGGAGAGAACCAATGGGAGCAATGTATGGACTTATCTTGGATGTATATTGGGTGTTCCTGAAGACGAGTTTGGGATTTTTTATCTTCCTACTATTAAGAATTTGATGGATGAGGGAAGGGACGAATTGGTGTTCCAAAGTATCTAAGATTTCTCATCCTATTCTAGTCGGCAACAGAAGTCGGCGGTCATTTTTTCTTTTCTGCACCGGGCTAGGTCGTACTCCACAAATGAAGGTTTGGCTCTCCCTCTTCTACTCTCCCTGAAATTCGAGTTGTGTATGCGAGGTTACCCGGACGAGGTTTTTGACAGGTCGCTGCTGCATTTCTCAATAAAGTATGGAGGACTTTGGAGGAACTAGCTTCCTTTGCTGACCAGATGGGGTCGGTTTTCGGGGTTCGATGGTCGTTTTGGTCTCTCGAAGTAGAGAGACGTGTGGAGTTTTCGGGTTTCTATGTGTGTTGTTGTTTTCTTCCTCTCGTTGTAGAGCGGCATGTGTAGTAGGGGGTTATGATGTTCTGTGGTATGTGTTCAGTCGAGTTTCGAGCTGTAGACGATTGGGTCAATAAGTGTTGAACCTTGTGCTTGATATGGCGTAGTTGAGTTTCGAACCATAGTTGGTTGTACTAATATGTGGTGTACCTTGTGATTGATATGGGTCGGTTGAGTTTCGAACCGTGGTCGGTTGTGCTAATAAAGGGTGAACTTTGTAGTGGACCTTGAACTAGCCTGTGATAGTCGTGTTTCGAACTGTTGTCGGTCAACTGGTGTGATGTGACTGTGGTTTTGAACTCGGTACGTTAGTTTTATAAGAGACGTAAGGTTTTGTTTCCCACTGAAGTAGTGAATTTTGGATAAGATCTGATTTTTTCGTTGGCGAGACTCCGTTTCGAGTCTATTCTTTAGTGCACGATTCATGACAGTTGAATAACTATTTTTCTTAGTACTGGCTTATATGATACGATTCGTTTTCTAGGGCCTTCTTGTGTACCTGTTACGAATACAGGGTAGATACATTTCTTTCTCTGTAGTTTCTGGCTGGTGTCGGGTTTTTCGATGAGCGAGCGCGACGTGATGATGGACGGTGGCTTCTTGGTAGACTTAGCAATCGCGGTGCTTCTGTGGACTTGACTCTCGTTCTTCTTTAGTATATAGTCAACAGTAGAGTAGTCCATGTCACCGATTACGAGGCCCCTGATGATCCTGGTTGGCGGCCAGGTAAAACCGGTAGGGTCATACGCCATGTCGCACTTCAAGTTACATTTTAATTCATAGTCGTTCTGGACATGGGTGGTCTCGTCTCTCTACTGGTTTTTTACTCTCCTTCTTTATTGGTTTTTGATTTCTTTTTCGTCATTTTTCCTATCTTCCTTCCTCCTCATACCTGGTCTATGTTTTGTTTGTTGTGTTGACTTTCTGTCTTGTGTTAATACTGATTGCTGTTGATTTGTCGTAGCTTGTGCTCGATATACACTCTGGTAGCCTAGCTCCCTACGCAATTGATATATGAGATTTTTTTGGGCAGTCCACTAATCTAAGGACTGCATATAAAAGCTGTTTTTTTTTTACCTTGGGGTGGTCTGGCTATCACACGAATCTAAAAGTACACTTAAGCCCTGATAACGACACTTGGTCGCATATGTGTTTTTTTTTTATTTAAGGTTTTACAGTCTTGATATATATATTCATAGGTGACTGACCCAGGTAATTTGAAATCACTATGGAAGTTATTGTAGATTGTATGACATGATTATTGGTTGTCGAGCTTCTATTATGACGTGTATGTTAAAAGTTTAAACTTGTTGTTTTTTTAAAGGATGCATAATTTTTGAAGTATTGTAAAATTGAGTGTCTCAAACCTGATAGGCATCGTAATTGAACCATGAACGTCAGGTTTTATGATAATGACTGATAATTCAACCTTAAAATTATTTTATTGTGTGTTTTGATCGTCCGTAGCAAAACCTGAGCACCACTTTCACCCGGTCATATGTTTTCGCACTACCACGAGTTAGAGGGAGGCACAATTCACCTTAGTGAGCTACCAACGTTGACTGGCCTTGGCCATTCTAATGGCGATGGGACCGAAACCAAGCATCCTTGTGGTGACACTCAGACACTAAATCTCTTGAGTTAGCCAATGAGACTGACCATATGTATCACTCCTCCCAATATTGGGGGTTATCATTATGAATTGCGGTTTGTGCGACTTCCCTTTTTTTTTGCGCTTAGGGCGTCTCCAGGCTTAGCAAGGCAAGGGGTAAGGCGTACTGATTTTTTTTTTGTCACATACAACGTTTTCATGCTCAGCAAAGCAAAGGTCAGAACTGTACCCAACTGAAATTCTTTGACTAAATGACCTAGGATCGTCATCTAACCTCTACCATATTGCTCTATCAGGCGCCCTTATCCATCATTCTCTCCTTACCTGTAACACTATACTACCCATGTCAATTTGACGTTGGACTGGCAGAAGATGGGGAGTTATGGGGCTAAGCCCTACCAACGTGTTATCCTTGCACAGGGGTCATGCTTATTTTCTTTGTATCGAGTGTTCGAAGGAGTACTACACTTTTGCGGGGTTTTGGTCTGGATTGCCGCTTTTGGCAACATGTGATGGCTTCCCGAAGCTACATTATTAAGGGTAGAGGGGAGTTGGAGTTGCTCAAGTGTAGTTTGGTTTGGGGGGGAACTTGAAAGGTTAACCAATAAAGGAATGAATAAAGATTGTAGGGGAATGGTAAGTAGCGTTGGGGTAATGGTTGGGTTTGTTAGGTTTGCAGGTCGGATCTGGACCGGCTGATCCAGACTACTGCTCGTAGGCAACGTTTCTTAGAGTATGATAGGTAGAATACAACTCAAGTAGAGGTAGGGAATCAGTGATTATTTTTTGACTGTTTCGCTTCTACGGCTACTAGTCGTCAATTTTTGGTGGTTTTGTTTGTTTGGTTTTGCATGACTGAGGCATGTTTGGTTTACTAGAGGCGGGGATTGCAGGGCAACGGTCGAGAGTTGACCACATTTTGTCCCTAAATCTTTCTTCATCTCTATTTGTAGGTATTGATTGAGTTGAGTTTAATGGTTTCCAACCTGGAGGCCATAAGCAAAATCGGCTAATGCTGATGGGATAACTCCGTGTTGAATTGTGAGGTTACCGACCTCAAGGTTTTATTTTGCAATAAACTGGATATATATCATTAAAAAAAAAAAATTATAGCGTGAACCTGTGCGTACTCGAAACCAAGTTTAAATCGTCCCTACCCACTCTCCCCGTAACACAAAACATCCTCAATTTGATTGAACGGAACTTGAAAGGTAACTTGCATTCATTCATAATGAGGGTGCATTATGTTCAGGGAAAGGCGTGTGGTAGAACTTGACCCTTCGTGTTGAGATGTTGGGATATGGGAGGGAGGGAGGTAAAAGGGGGGAGGAGGAAAGGGTGGGGCTATCTCGGGCTATCAGTTGGGATGGGGTGGTCTAAGGAATTTACACACGATCATGAACTTGGGTTCACCGTACCATTCCCCAAAAACCAATACTTTAAATGTGTCGGCTTATTAGCCCGGACCAGAAACATTAAAAAAAATGTTGGTTTTGCAAACTGTGTGAGGAGCTACTTGGGCAATTCCGAACTGAAAAGTTGGGCGCCACAATGACTGCTGAAGGTTGGTGGAACTCTGATTTATTTCAAATAAGTATCATTTAGTTTCATGATGTATATATATATATATATATATATATATATATATATATATATATAAATATAGCAGCGTGTCTGGAGTGTATTTTTTGCCTGTGACAGACCTTTCTTTGTTTCGTGGATGTTTTGTTGGCTTGTGATGGGGTGTGAACCGACAGTCTGTAGAGTTTTTCATCTGGTGTGGGTGAGTGATAGTCTACTTTGATTTTGGTTAAGGTAGATTATCATTTACAGTGTAATCAGTGAGGGGATTCTGCAGACTGTTGAGGGTT